GGGTTTGTGAGGATAGTTTTGGGGCTGTTGTGGGGTTGGGTTTACACCACCTCGTGCTGGTGTCTCCGAGCCTCCCTTTGTCATCCCTCGGCAGATTCAGAGACGTCTCGAGGCTGGGAAACTCCGTTTTGTGGAGGAGCGGCGCTTGGTGAAGGTGGTGGGACTGGATCTGGCCGAACACGAGGCTGACAGGAAGAAGTCGGTGAGTTGCCCAAGAGCAGCCCCACTACCACATGAGAGGGCACCTCTTACCCGCTGTACCCATCAGTTCAGCGTCATCATCCAGCTTTCGGCTGGCATGCTGTCGATTCCCCAGCTCTAACAATGGGATCACCCCTCTCTTACTGATGTGTTCCCAAGCCTGGTCCCCTTCATGTCCATCACCATCGTCAACACTGGGATGTGGGGGAGGTGTATTGTTTTCAGGGAACTGTGGGCAGACTGGCCCTCGAGCCAGGGCAGTTCAGAAGAAGGAGAAAAAATGGTGAAGGAACTGGACTACGTTCTGAAGGGATGCTTCCCTCCCCCTGGATCCCCTCCAAGGTCAGCACAACTTTGCTCAGATATTGCCCTTCCCTAGTTGCCCTTGAGAAGGTGGTGGTGAGCTGCCTTCTTGAACCACTGCAGTGCGTTGTGTGTTGACCCTCAATGCCCTTAGGGAGGGAATTCCAGGATTGTGACCCAGTGACAGTGAAGGAACAGCGATATATTTCCAAATCAGGGTGGTGAGTAGCTCGGCGGGGAACTTGCAGGGGTCGATTTTCCCCATGGATTTGCTGCCCTTGTCCTTCTAGATGGAAGTGGGCGTGGTTTTGGAAGGTGCTGTCAAAGGAACTTTGGTGAGTTTCTGCAGGGCATCTTGTAGCTACTATACACTGCTACTACTGAGCGTCGGTGGTGGAGGGAGTGGATGCTTGTGGATGTAGTGCCAATCAAGTGGCTGCTTTGTCCTGGATGGTGTCAAGCTTCTTGAGTGTTGTTGGGACTGCCCCCGTCCAGGCAAGTGGGGAGTATACTGTTACACTCCTGACTTGTGCCTTGTAGATGGTGGACAGGGCTTCGGGAAGTCAGGAAGGGAGTTACTTGCCGCAGTATTCCTAGCTTTTGACCTGCTCTTGTAGCCATTGGGCTTGCATGGTGAGTCCAGTTGAGTTTCTGGTTAATGGCTAACCCCACGATATTGATAGTGGGGGATTCAGTGATAGTAACACCATTGAGTGTCAAGGAGCAGTGGTTAGATTGTCTCTTACTGGAGATGGTCATTGCCTGGCATTTGTGAGCCATGAACGTTATTGGCCACTTGTCAGCCCAAGCTTGGATATTGTCATGATCTTGTTGCATTTGAACATTCGAGGTGGTTAATCTCAGGGGTGTGACTGCCTCCTGAAACACAGCATCCAGGTAACTCTCCCCTTCCCTGCTGTGCCACAGTGTCAAAACTCAGACTCCAGCTCACCAACTCTGAACCAGAGTCCCTCGAGCAACCAACACATGGTACAGATGTGGTGACTCTGATCCACAATGGGGTTCACCAGCTCCCACATCACACAGATACAACACATAAGCTGGCCCGGCATCTCTGTTCTATCTGCTTAGTTCTTAAATTGATATTTAAAATTTTCCTACTGGTCTTTGAATTTATAACTTGTCAATATTTCCCCTATTCAACTTCAGTCTGAAAATAACCATAATAGATAGTCAAATTAGCATCTATCATCCACCAATGGTCTTATGGTTCTCCTGTAATGTCATTCTGTTGTGTGGGCCCATGATCCTGACTTATAATTTATCCTGTTTAAAAAAACCTCATAAATTATGAACTAAAAAAGAAGCAAAAAGCACCTGTTCCCCTCTGTATCAAATTCCCACACTGCCTTCAAATTGCCAGAACTGTGTATTCACTCGGGCTGCGTCGCTCTGGGGCTAATCTCTCCTTCCTGACTGTGCAAAGCTTACTCCTCATGTGATTGGTTGCATTGCAGCACTCAGTCAGTTCAATCAGTCTGATTGAACACCTTTATAGTCTGCTCCCAGGATGGGACGTTCCACTCCCGAACATCCCAGACTTCCTCTGATTTCAAGGACTGTA